TTCTCTTCTTAAGGCAAAGATTATATATTATATGGGCTCCCTGGCCACTCAACTGATAAAGAACTTTGCAGTCAATGCAGGAGACACAAGAGGCCCAGGTTTGATCCCAGGTCAGGAAGATCCCTTGGAGAAAATAATGGCAATCTGCTCCAGTAGTCTTACCTGAAAATTCCATGGAGATATATGGAATATATATATGGATATATATTATGTATTAATATATTTATTGATATTTTCCAAATGAATGGCATTTTAAAAGATGTTTCTTTGTCAATTTCTCATTATTGCATTATGGTCAGATACACAGTTTAAATATTATTGATCCTTTGTATTTGAAGATGTCCATTCAGTTAAGTATACCATACTTTAGATTTGCATACCAGTGAAGTCAAAATGAAGTGGGTGTGATGTAGAGAAAATACTTGCAATGTCTAAAATGTATATATGTGAAATGACCTCCTTTAAGCCTCACAATTATTCCAGCATCTTTCAGTACAGTACCTTTAACTAAGTTCCAGGTTTTATTCAAATTTTACCAGTTTTTCCACAAATGTTCTTTTCCAGTGTCATATTCCCATATAGGATACTGAATTGCATGAGGATATATACCAAAAAGCTACAGATACCTCCTTAGCATACTCTGGTCTATAGCAGTTTCTTAAACTTTCCTTGCTTTTCATGCTTTTGACAATTTTCAGGAGTCTTTCAGGGACAGGTTATTTTGCAGAATGACTCTCAGTATGGGTTTGATATGTTTCTCCTGGTTGCACTGGGGTTTATATATTTTTAGAACTATACCTCCAAGGCAATATATCTTTCTCATCACTTCCCATCAAGGATTCATACTATCAATATGACTTACCACTAGGTTCCTCTGCTATAAAGTTATCTCCTTCCCCCTGACATATTCTGTTCTTTGGAAACAAGTCACTAAACCCAGCCGACACTTAGGGAGGGGCATGGACTCTCATCTTGAGGAAAATATCTAAGAGATACACAAATTACTGAGTATACAAATTAATTGGAACTCATTTATAAGGAAGATTTGGTTCCTCTAGCCATATCTTTTAATTTTAAATTAATTAAATTAAATAAAAGTAAAGATTTAATAGGTTTCCCAGGTGGTGCTAGTGGTAAAGAACCTGCCTGCCAATCCAACGTGTAAAAAGACACGGGTTCGATCCCTGGGTCGGGAAGATCCCCTGGAGAGGGAAATGGCAACCCACTCCAGTATTATTGCCTGGAGAATCCCATGGACAGAGGAGCCTGGTGGGCTACAGTCCATGGGGTTGCAAAGAGCTGGACACAACTGAAGCGACTGAACACAGGTAAAGATTTAATACCTCAGTCACACTAGCTACATTTTAACATCTCCAAAGTGGAGAAAGAGATAGAAAACATTTCACTGGGAATTCCCTAGTGATCTGGTAGTTAGAGCTTTGTGCTTCCACTGCACGGGGCAGAGATTCGATCTCTGGTTGAGGATCTAAGATCCCTTAAGCCTCACAGCAAGGCCAAAAAAAAAAAAAATTCCTACAAGATGAACACTCCGTCTGAAAAACCAGATAAAGGATATAAACAGGTCACCTGACAGAAGAGAAAAATATGCATTTATATATGTGAAAAGCTGATCGTCCTTTTTAGGGAATACATGCAACAATGATTTTAAAATTTTCTATTGCTGCAGAAACTCCCGTGAATAGCACTGACTTAGATCATTGTTTTGCCAACCTTTCTTCTTTTCAAACATAATGCACTTTAACACATGAAACTGCTTTAGCCCTGTCTCAAAAAATTTGTTATTTTCAATGTCATTCAGTTCAAATATTTCCTTTTTTCCATAACAATTTGTCTTAGGAGTTACAAGTTATTTAGGTTCAGAAGCAGGAGTAGGAGGAGCCTAAACCACAACATCAAAGAGGATTGTGAATTACAGAGGTGCCACTTTTGCACTTGGGTTCCTGGCAATCCTTACTCTATCCTCAGCCTGTTTGCAGTTACATTGCTTCATTTTCAAACTCTGGGAGTGCTTTCCTCCTCAATTATCTTTCTGGGTTTTTGTTTGGCCATGCCACGGAACCTGTGAGATCTTAGTTCCACAACCAGGCATTGAACCCCGGCCACTGGCAGTGAAAGCACCAAGTCCTAACTGCTGAACCAAAAGGGAATCCTCATGTCTTTTTCTTTCTTTCTTTCACATATTTATTCATTTACTTGGCTGTGCTTGGTCTTGATTGCAGCGCAAGGGCTCTTCAGTCTNGGTCTGGTATTCCCATCTCTTTCAGAATTTTCCAGAGTTTGTTGTGGTCCACACAGTCAAAGGTCTCATCACTTCATGGCAAACAGATGAGGAAACAATGGAAACAGTGACAGACTTTATTTTCTTGAGCTCCAAAATCACTGCAGATGGTGACTGCAGTCACAAAAATAAAAGATGCTTGCTCCTTGGAAGAAAAGCTGTGACAAACCTAGATGGCATATTAAAAAGCACAGACATTACTTTGCCAAAAAGGTCCATGTAGTCAAAGCTATGGTTCTTCCACTAGTCATGTAGAGATGTGAGATTTGGACCATAAAGAAGGCTGAGCACCTTTTTAATTGATGCTTTTAAACTGTGGTGTTGGAGAAGACTCTTGAGAGTCCCTTGGACTGCAGGAAGATCAAGCCAGTCAGTCCTACAGGAAATCAACTCTGAATATTCACTGGAAGGACTGATGCTGAAAGTGAAGCTCCAGTACTTTGACCACCTTATGGGAAGAGCCGTCTCATTAGATTACACCCTAATGCTGGGAAAGATTGAAGGCAGGAGGAGGAGGGGATGACAGAGAATAAGATGGTTGGATGGCATCACAGACTCAATGGACTTGAGCTTGAGCAAGCTCCAGGAGATGGCGAAGGACAGAGAAGCCTGGTGTGCTGCAGTCCATAGGGTCGCAAAGAGTGAACACGTCTGCACAACAACAAATTATTGTTTGTCTTGCTTGATTCTTTTCTTGTTTCTGCAGTTTTTCACTTCTAATTAAATTTGTTCTTTGAAACTCATGGAAGGTCTAGGACCTAAGGTTTTTCTACAAATAAGAGACAGGGCACATTGGTGCGGGGTGGGGGAGTGGTCTGTCCCTGAGAAAGCCCTGCAGGGTCCTGCTCAGTTATATGATGAAACAGACAGACAATGCCAAGTGTTTGGTAGAAATGGAAATGCCAATACTGTTAATGGGAATACACATTGCTTCAATCACTTCGAAAAAGCATTTGACTGTACCTGCATATTAGAATGGCTCAGTCAGTAACAAATCTGCCTGCAATGCAGGGTTCAAACCTGGGTCAGGAAAATCCCCTGGAGAAGGAAATGCCAACCCATTGTGGTATTCTTGCCTGGGAAATCCCATGGACAGTGGAGCCTGGTGGGCTAGAGTCTATGGGGTTGCAAGAGTCAAATACCACTTAACAACTAAACCACTACCACATGCATTATCAGAAAATCTCATATCTAGACATACAGATATAGCTATCCTAGAGTAATTACTATGAAAGACACACAGGTTCATAGGCAGTTTATTCAAAAAGGCAAAATAAGAGCCTCAAATTTCAGGCACAGTAAAATGGACATATAAGACTATGCCCATTCATCCAAGGGAATGCTACTCAGCAATGAAAAAGAATGTTCCACAGCTACATACAATAAGAATGCCTCTCACTTATTTAAAAGAAAATGAAGACCAGGGGAACAGAAACTCTATTGTGTGATTCTATTAACTTAAAGTTTAAAACAAAGAAAAATGAATCCCTGGTGCTAGAGGTCAGAGAAGTGGTTACATTGGGGAGCAGAGGGTGGCCAGGAAGGAGCATGGAGATTTCAAAGCTACTTGATGGTAGAGAGATGAAACAAGTACAATTTCAGTTACAGTAAAACCAGAGTTTATTTTCTTGGGCTCCAAAATAACTATGGATGGTTAGTGCAGCCATGAAATTAAAAGACGTTCACTCCTTGGAAGAAAAGCTGTGACAAACCTGGACAGCATATTAAAAGACAGAGACATTACTTTGCCATCAAAGGTCCATAAAGTCAAAAATATAGTTTTCCCAGTAGTCAGATACAGATGGAAGAGCTGGACCATAAAGAAGGCTGAGTGCTGAAGAATTGATCTTTTCGAACTGTGATGCTGGAGAATGGAAAAGACTCTTGAGAGTCCCTTGGACTGCAAGGAGATCCAACCAGTCAATCCTAAGGGAAATCAACCCTGAATATTCAGTGGAAGAACTGACGCTGAAGCTCCAATACTTTGGCCACCTGATGGGAAGAGTCAACTCATTGGAAAAAACCCTGATGCTGGGAAATATTGAAGGCAGGAGCAGAAGGGGTGACAGAGGACGAGATGGTTGGATGGCATCAGCACCCCAATGGAATGAGTTAGAGCAAGCTCCAGGAGATGGTGATGGACAGGGAAGCCTGGCAGTTCTGCAGTTCATAGGGTCACAGGGAGTCAGACACGACTGAGCAACTGAACAACAACAAAAGCCAGACAGGGTCTTTATGCACAGCTGGCTGAACCTCAATAGGACTTTTTCAAATTTCTGGAGGTGGGTAGACCATAACTTTTAGCCAGATCCCTTGCTGCAACACGTCTGGAATATTTTGTGTTCATAGTCATCTTTGTAGTTATTCTGGGTGGCACTTGGGGGTCCATGCTCCTCACAGTGATGGATGCCGTCTCTCTCGGTCCCAGCTGAACTGAGGTTCGGATCACGACCTCTGTCTCAGGAGGCAACCCCCACAATTGCTCTGGCTTTTTGAATGACTGATGATTCTTGGTTTGGTGCTCTGTCTTCTCCTTCAGGTTCAAAAACAGTAGCCGGCACTTGGAACATGGAAAGACCCTCTTGTTCCAGTGCCTCCAAGCGTGATTTACGAAGGATGTCGACAGTTTGAAAATTTTGAGGCAAAACAGACAAGCAAATTGTTCGTGTTTCCATGCCACGTTCTAAAATGCACTTCTACATCAGCAAAGGCTGACGATCTGTAATTGCAAACACAGCACACATAGGGCATTTTGCTAGGTTTGTGACTGTCCTTCATGTGCTGTAAGAGAACCTGATCTGTTTCAAAGGACAATTCACAGATTTTACAGACCGCGGAGGGCTCCCGGGAAATGTGGACACTTTCAACGTGACACTGCAGCTGGAACGGGGTAGGAAACTGGCGGTGGCAGTGCTGGCAGGTGGTGTGGGTCTCCCAGCTGTCACCCTTCTGCTTCTCAAGCTCCAGATGGTTCCTCACGTGGGTCATAAACTTGACATTTTTTAGAACTCTCAAGCAGCTGAGGCAATTAAAGGCCGTGTGAGTCTTCGATTCTGGCTGCCCATTTCCTGTATGCTGTCCATAGTAAAAGTCATCAAGTAACATGATCAGTTTTCCTTTCATGGGATCAACAGTCTTGCTCTGACTTGTTAGAGTCAAAAAGTCTGTTTTCTCCAGCCCTTCCAAGCTACATGTTCTGTCTGGATCCATAAGACTGAAGCATGCCTGGTCATTTTCATGAGTCGGTGAAAATGATGCCCCACCTTCAACATGTCTCGGTGAGGTTGGGAGATCTTCCAAGGTCATAATTGTGTTCTTTGTAGGAGAGATTCCTGGAGGGGCCATGACAGAGGCAGGTCCCCCTGGGGTTCCACCGCTGAGTTTAGGTCTTTGGGGATTCCCACTGTTAAAATTTACATCTGAAGTGGGGCATCGCTTTGAATTAAGAGGACTTTCACCCTTGCCTCCTAATGAGAGAACAGCTCCAGATAAACAGTGAGGCCATGGAGAGAGCAATTCTGAAGAGTTGTGAAGCACGGCTTGCAGAGAGCTCATTTTATAATCAGGTTTAGACGAAGGCTTGAAAATAATAGGACTGTCTCTTCCTCCCCATTCAGACTGAGAAGCTGGAGAGACAGCCACAGGCTTTGATGGTCCTGAGATTTGCAGGTTGCAACGTGCAGGTGGGATCTGGACTCACGTGCCCCTTCTTTCTTTTTGAAGATGAGTCCCTGGTCACTCTGTTCAAAATGTTAGAAATGACTGGCTTTGAACTTGAAATCACTCTGACAAAGAGGGTTTCAGCATCCTCATTGATGTGCTCCACTCCAGAAGATGACCTCAGCATCGTCACCGTCCTCATCTCTGGATTTGGACCCTCCGGTTTTTTTCTCGGGTTGTGGTGGTGCTTGCGCTTCCTCACACGGGAAGAGATGGGCCATTTTACAACCACTTCTGGCTTCAAGTGGCCCCTTCTTCTAGTGCTTTTTCCACCTAAAGGCACCACAGGACAAGGTCATCCCCTCCGATCTCAGGTGTCACTCTGTGGTTTCAGTTAACCCTCAGTTGTTCACCAAAAATATTAAATGGAATATTCCAGAACTAAATAACTCATAAGTTTTAAATTGCATGTCATTCTGAGGAGTGTGATTGGACGCTCTCACTATTCTGCTTCCTCCTGCCCAGAATGTGAATCGCTCCTTAGTCCTGCACATCCTACCTGTTTGTACTCGGTTACCACGATGACTGTTGAGGTGTCACAGGGCTTGTGTCCAAGTCACCCTTATTTTACTCAATAATGGCCCCAAAGCATAAGCGGAGTGATGCTGGCAATTTAGATATGCCAGAGAGAGCCCATTAAGTGCTACCTTTAAGTGCAAAGATCGAAGTTCTTAGTTTGATATAAAAAGAGAAAAAATTGTATGCTGAGGTTGCTAAGATCTGTGGTGACTATGAAGAAGTGAAAAGAAATCTGAGTTAGTTTTGCTGTCAAACCTCAAACTGCAAAAGTTATGGCCACAGAGCGTAGTAAGTGCTTAGTTAGGGTGAAAAAAAAAATCACTGAATTAGTACAGTAATATTGTTTACATAGAGACTACAGTCACAAAACTTTTATAGAAGTATATTGCTATAATTGTTCTATGTTATTATTACACATTCCCTGGTGGCTNTAGTAAGTGCTTAGTTAGGGTGAAAAAAAAATCACTGAATTAGTACAGTAATATTGTTTACATAGAGACTACAGTCACAAAACTTTTATAGAAGTATATTGCTATAATTGTTCTATGTTATTATTACACATTCCCTGGTGGCTCAGATGATAAAGTGTCTGCCTACAGTTCGGGAGACCCGGGTTCAATCCCTGGGTGTCAGGAAGATCCTCTGGAGAAGGAAATGGCAACCCACTCCAGAATTGTTGCCTGGGAAATCCCATGGACAGAGGCTGCAGTCCATGGGGTCGCAAAGAGTCGGACGACTGAGTGCCTTCACTGTCACTTTCCTGTTATTATTAGTTGCCAGTCTCTTACTGTGCTTTTATAAAATAAACTGCATCAGAGGTATGTTTGTATAGAAAAACATTGTGTACATAGGGTCTGATACTGCGTGAGGTTACAGGTGTCCTCTGGGGGTGCCCCTTTCTCCCTCCACTCTGTGAGTCCAGAAGGCACCAGACTCTATACATGGATCCAAAATATATATCTTTTAATTCCAGAAAGTTCTAATAGCAAAACTTGAACCTGTCTCATGCTGGCAACTATATATATATATATAGCATTTACACTGTACTTGAAACTATTTACACAGCATCAACATTGTATTAGGTATTATAAGGAAGGTGGAGATGATTTAAAGCATGTGGGGGCATCTCCTTAAGTTACATGCAGAGACTACACCATCTTATATAAGGGACTTAAGCATTCATGGATTTTGGTATCTGCAGGTGCAGGGTTCCTGGATCCAGTCTCCCAAGGATACCGAGGAGGGAGGACGGTGCCTTCTCAGGACTTCTGCTGCTCCCCCTGCCTTGGATGCTGTCTCAAGTACTGCAGCCCAGCTCCTGACCCGCTTCTGGTCCACAGTTTCTCTGCCAGGCTTCCCTAACCATGATGTCAGAAATCACCACCCCCCACCAACTCACATGCCATATTCACCTCCAAAGCTATTGGGTTGCTGTATTTTTGTTTCTAGAACAACATGTGGCATCTGTCAGCACTACATGTCTGCTGCATAAATAAACAGTAACTGTTATTAATACAGTCATTTATCTGTACCACAGGCTCGAACCCTCTAATTCCTGGCTACCCAGGTACTTACACTCGATCTTAGCCAAAAGGCTGAGAAGCGATTTCTCCAAGCATTTAATGAAATCCAGATCTTAATGATTTAAAACTATCATGCAAGGGAGAAAATCAGCCAGTATGTAGCTGGATACTGACAGGGGCAGTGGTGGTAATTGAAATAAAAGGTTTGTAACACAATTTCTCTCCATATAATACATTTGTTGATAGCTTCCATGCCATTAACACGTTTCACTGACATTAAGGGACATTCTAAAGTTTACATTTGACCATTTCTGATACCAGATCGCATTTCATCAGGAGCATATCATAGTTTGTTTGGCTGTGTGTAAATGGTGGCCCTAGCGGTAAAGAACCCTCCTGCCAATGTAAAAGATGTAAGAGACGCAGGTTCCATCTCTGGGTCAGGAAGACCCCCTGGAGGAAGGCATGGCAATCCACTCCAGTATTCCTGCCTGAAGAATCCTATGGACTGAGGAGCTTGGTGGGCTACAGTCCACAGGGTTGCAAAGAGTCAAACATGACTGAAGCAATTGAGCACACACGCATACATATGTATATAAAGATACAAAATTTTATAGTGGTATGAAAAATAATACTGTGGGACTTCCCTGGTGATCCAGTATTTAAGACTTCTCACTTCCACTCCAGGGGGCATGGGTTCAATCCCTGGTCGGGGACCTATGATCCCACATGCCACAGGGTGTGGCCAAAAAAAAAAAAAGGAATAATATTGTATCTTACAGCTGATGTCATCTTAGATTTAATGAAAACTTCTATTTTTCATAAGCAGAATCCAGCCTACTAAATTCATGTTATAAGTCACTAATGGGATGCTAGCTGTATTATATAGGCATATGTTTTAGACAAGGATTGACAAATCGGCCTGCCTCCTCTTTGTTTTTTTTCTTCCAACCAGCAAGTTAAGAATGATTTTTATGTTTTAGTTTTTTTTAACTTTTAAAAATATGTTTAATACTTTTACATTTTTTTTTAATTTGGGGGGGAAACAAAGGAATGTTTTGTGACACGTGAAAATTATATGATATCTAAATTTCAGTGTCACAAATAAAGTTTTATTGGAACACAGCTGTGATCATTTGCTGCTGCCCGAGGCTGTTTCACACTGCTATGGCAGAGATCGCCCTTAATGCCTGGTTACTTTACAGAGAAATTTTGCAGACTAACGGCTGCGGAGAACAAAAGGAAGCCCTCCAAACCCCATGGCTCACCAGCTCCTGAAGTCCAGTTGACTCAATTCAGCTCAACACTTCCCACTCTGAGCCCCAGTGGAGGGCGAAGCTGGAGTGTCTTTGTCTCCTCGTCCCAGAGAGATTTTCGAAATACCAGCACCACTTCCTGTGTCCTGTGTCTGTGGAACTCCTACCTGGATCTCCAAAAGCCTTTTCTCAGTGAGGCTGGATCAGGAGATTCCAAGCCTTTTAAAGCCCATTATAATCCAATCCATAGTATCCAAACTGGGCTCCAATCAGGTTTCTGAACCAGTTTTTCTGCACAGGATCTTTCAACTAGAAACCTTTCTACCAAATCGCTAGAGAGAGGAAAGAATGTGGGTGGGGCTTTAGGGCCTCGCCCAGGGATCTGTTTTCCAGGTCTCAGTGTGGTAAGAGTCCCCACTTCCCTCTCTGGCATCCAGAGGCCCACCACCTTATCTCCAATTTATCTGCATCTGTAGTTATNGCTGGAAAAAAAAACTGACCATTAAAAAGAGCTCATTATATACTCTTTCAAGGTGGTTGATGGTGAGTGCTGTGCCTAGTCGCTCAGTGTGTCTGACTCTTTGCGACCCCATGGACTGTAGCCAGCCAGGCTCCTCTATCCATGGAATTCTTCAGGCAAAAAATATGGGAGTGGGTTGCCATGTCCTTCTCCAATGTTGGTGAGTATCAAAACCCAAGGCTAGGGACTTCCCTCGTGGTCTAGTGGTTGAGAATCTCTGCCTTCCAATGCAGGGAACGTGGGTTTGATCCGTGGTTGGGGAACTAAGATCCCACATGCCACAGGGCAGTAGAACCAACGATGGATCCTACATGCCACAATGAAGACCCAAGGCAACCAAATAAGTAAATAAAAATAAGTATTTTTTTTAACTCTATGCTATTTACATTCTTCTGGATATATTTGAATGCATGATATTAACAGTTTTATTTATTTATGGACACACCATGAGACTTCCTGCAGGATCCTAGTTTCCTGACCAGGGACTGAACCCAGGTCACCAGAGTGAAAGCATTGAGCACTAACCACTGGTTTGCCAGGGGATTCCTAGTTTTATTTATTTAAAGGGTTTATTTTTATTGTATGCCAAAAGCTACATCCTTTCCAGTGTTTACACTTATGACAAAAACATTTTGGATGTAAATTTTTAAATGTTTGCAAAAACTTAGGGGA